TTCGAGCCCGTCGCCTGTTATTTCCAGTGGGATTCCCGATATGATCCAAAGTGGAGTTGAATTAGATAATTTTTCTTTCTCTTTCACTTGCAACTTGGAAATCACCTGGCGAGTGTATGAGACAGTATTAATTAATAACCGTAACTTTGATTTCATGCGACAGGTTGTAAGGCCCTAACGCTTGTCGCCACGTCGCTCATCCACTATACTTTGGACGCGCTCTTGTCTTTGTTCTGGGGTAGATAAATTTGGAGAGCATTTTTCCCATCCTTGTAATTCCAACTTCCCCGTGTTCCCTAGTGCTAAACATGACGACCGACCCGCCAGAACTTTCGAAGTCGCTGGTAAACAGCGGGCAGGGTAAGAATATATCTCAGTCGAGATATGGGAGTCAGCGGGAAGATATGCTAACATCTATTTTTCTTTGCTAAGGTGTGGCTGCGAATGCAGCCGACGTACCTGTTTCCAGCCCCGTTGCAGCAAATGGGACGTTGGGGGAAGGAGACAACTCAGATGACGGTGAAGATCAACCGGCAGTAGCCGTTGATGCCAGCGCTGCCAAGAAGAAGAAGAACAAAAAGAAGAAGCCCAAGAAGAAACAGCCAAAGACTCAGACCGATCCTCCCTCAATTCCCATATCCCAGCTGTTCCCGAACAACACCTACCCCAAGGGAGAAGAGGTCGAGTACAAGGACGACAATCGATACCGAACTACCAGCGAGGAGAAGCGATACCTGGATAATCTGAATTCCGATTTTCTTTCCGATTATCGCCAGGCAGCTGAGGCGCATCGTCAAGTCCGTCAGTGGGCACAAAGAAGCATCAAGCCAGGTCAAACCCTCTTGGAGATTGCCAACGGCATCGAGGATAGTGCGCGACGTTTGGTGGGGCATGATGGCCTGACCGAAGGCGACTCTTTGATAGCCGGTATGGGATTTCCCACCGGTCTGAATATTGACAACGTTGTCGCCCATTACAGCCCAAATGCAGGCTGCAAGACGGTGCTCAAGGAAAGCAATGTGCTCAAGGTCGATATCGGTATCCACGTAGGCGGTCGGATTGTGGACAGTGCCTTCACAATGGCATTCGATCCTGTCTATGATAATCTACTGGCAGCCGTCAAGGATGCAACCAATACTGGTGTGCGGGAAGCTGGTATCGATGTTCGAGTCGGAGAATTGGGTGGCTTAATACAAGAGGCTATGGAAAGCTACGAGTGTGAAATCAATGGCAAGACTCACCCGATAAAGGCCGTTCGTAACTTGTGCGGCCACACAATCCTTCCTTACTCGATCCACGGGACCAAGAATGTCCCTTTTGTCAAATCCAATGACATGACAAAGATGGAAGAAGGGGATGTTTTTGCTATCGAAACATTCGGCAGTACCGGTGCCGGCCGATACGTCGAAGGGGGTGAAGTCTCTCATTATGCTCTACGCGGTGACGCAAACAGGAAGGACTTGACTCTTTCCTCGGCAAGAAATGTATTGGGCGCTATCAAGAAGAACTTTAGCACTATCCCTTTCTGCCGGCGCTATTTAGACAGAATTGGACAAGAGAAGTATCTCCTTGGTGTATGGAATTTCCTTCAAAACATTTGGATTGGGACTATTGACTGACATGAAAGACAGTTGAATAACTTAGTGAAATCGGGAATTGTCGAAGATTACCCCCCTTTGAATGAGAAAGAGGGGACCTATACGGCCCAGTTCGAACACGCAAGTCACTCCCCTTCTTCTTTTCTGGAGACGAACACCCCACTGACGGAACTCAGACAATTCTACTTCGGCCTAACGTTAAAGAAGTTATTACTCGCGGGGATGACTTCTAAAACGTATTCGTCATTTTTCTTGTTCTTTCTTTTTTTGGAGGTGGACTCAAGGGCCTCTCTTGTACGAAAGATATATCAAAGGTTCATAACTTGGCACGCGGAACATGAAAAGCAATCAGGACATTTACTTTTTACTTCTCCCCACCGGATTTTCTTTCTCTTTCCTTTCTCAAACAGCACATCTCGGTCGTAGCCTCCAGGACTGAAATACTAGTACATTACGCATCTTTCTGGATTTCGGCCGTGGGTCCTTCAGGCAGATCCGGGTTTCGGCAAAGTTTCTATTTTCGGTGTTAGACCCTAATTTACGATGGCAGCTCTGGGGTCTCTCGGGATACCCGTGGACTGCGGCGATACGTGTCGAACCAGATGCCGATTGTACTTATTGACCATTTATATTGAATTGGCTTTACAGACACATGAAAAGCCGCTGGTTACTAGAGAGACTGCGTTGTGATCCAGGATTAAGTATCAATATCTTGCTCAATTAGCGAGGATTGACTTCTAGTTCATCGTTCACTTCGAAGGGGATCCAAATCCTTTTCAATATGGCCAGCATCGCAGAACAGCTAATTGAAAGCATGAACGCTGTTGAAGTAGCCATCTTCGAAGGTCAAGATGCTACGCGACAGCAGCTGGCTCTGGCAGCCCGCAAGCTCTTCCATAAGCTGGAAATAAAAGAGGAGAAAACCATGCGACTTGCTATGGAGGAGCCAATCATGTTTTCTGTTCTTCAAGCCCTCATTGGTATTGGTATTCTTGAGGGCTGGGCTGCTGCCGGTGGCGGCGAGAAGAATGTGAACGAGGTGGCCAACATCAGTAAAAAGGAGATGGAACAAGAGCTTTTATTTAAGGCCTCAATTGACGATACGATAAAATCCAAAGCAGTTACTAATCTACCTACAAGGCCATCGACTACGCCTCATGGCCGCGAACCATATTATCGAGGAAACAGCAAACGACCACTACGCACCTACGCCTTATTCCCTTGCTACTGGGGATTTGAGAACCCAGGTCGCCCCAGGCCTTCAGATTAGGTAGGTTACAACGTTTCTGCACAATGCAGTCATTCGTGACATTCAGGCTCACAAGGAGCAAATCACTAGAACTAACCACGTCGCACCATGTATCATGCACTGGCCCCATTTCTTGGCTAAGACCAACTACTGCAAGCCCCTAGACAACGCGGCTAGCTGCTATATAGACACATTTCCTGAAAAGGAGAGCTTTTTCGGGCGTTGCAGTGCGAATCCCGTTCACCAGGAGAGTTTTTCATCCTTTATGGATGTCTGGGCTAAGGGGAAAAGACATTGGCCACTGTTTCTATGACACTCAAGCTCTGCTGATGGTGCTGATCTGAGTGATGGTAGTGCCTTTGTTGTGGATGTTGGCGGGCACCACGGCATAGATCTTATGCGTGCGGCTGAGAAGCACCCGGATCTTCCCCTTGGGTCTCTTGTCCTCGAAGATCTTCCAGAAGTCGTTGGGCCTGCCGAACTTACCACAGACAAAATCAGGACTGTGTCGCATGATCTCTTCGATGAGGGAGTATCGCAGCCTGTTGAAGGTAGGATTGTTCATTCTTTCTGTACGGGGATGTTGAGAAACTTACCGCAATGTCAGGGGCTCGAGCCTAGCTAGGAAAGACCGGAGATTCAAATCATTCCCGGTCCATGATTTGCTTGGGAGCAAAGTCTCAGCACACTATGGCAGAGCCCTTCCTGGCACCGAATGCTGCGTCTTTCCGATGTGCCTTGGCTACGGGATCACCAGATCGGATCCGAGATACTCTTTCCCGCTGCTGGCTATATTACTATGGCTATGGAAGCTATTCGTCAAACCGCGTGCGCGACTGCGACAAGTCAAGATCAAAACGCTTTGAAAGACAGAAAATACCAGTACTGTCTTCGGAATGTCCAGTTCCCTCGAGGTTTGGTGCTTGAACGATGATGTTGAGATCCATGTGATACTTTTATCGATACCCATGGCAAAGTTGGGACAGGGATGGTGGGAATACAAAATCTTCTCTCGCCAAATCTGATTCACCAGGATTATCATCGACACATACCTTGACCCCAGAAAAATGGAAGATCAATTCAACAGGATTGATTCGACTAGAGATTAATTCCAATACGTCGCTGTTCCAATCTCCGGAGAAGCCTGCAGCTTGCCTTTGATGGACCCAACGCCTGGACAGATGTGGTACAAGTCTCTAAGAAGAGTCGGTTACTCATATGGCCCTGATTTCCAGAGACTGGGAGCAGTCGAAGGCACACAGGGAAAGCCAACAATCCAATCTCTTATCTCTTTGGAGCCGCCACAGTCTTAAGTGGCAACCACAATCCGAATATCCCCTGCATCCAGCTCCTCTAGACAGCCAAGCCTTTTACCTCACTTGCCGGTGGCTACCGTAGTAAGATCGATAAGCTACTTGTTCCCAGAGGCATCAACCAACTGATCATCTCCGGCCAAATCTGGAGATCTGGGGAAGCGGTCTCTGTGATCACACGATGCGTCAGTGGGTGCGTCTTTGTACCATCCTGCCACTGGACCTCTCATCACGCGGCTCAACGGCGTTTCATTTTACCCATGTTGGAAAGTCGAGAGAATATTTGTGTGTCACGTATATACCCAGTCAATATGGAAACCAGATTTCCAATTTCTGGACACGGACAAGAAGCTCCAACAAGCACTGGTCAGAGTTGATGACAACGATGAGTCTCACATTCAAGAGATTCTGGATTTAGCAGCTCACAAGAGGCCAAATTTAAGGGTCCTCGAGTTTAACCTCGTACCTGGCAGTACAGAATCTCTATGGCTTGCCGAAGATTCAACACCACGTCCAGTCCGCGCCGCCCTCACTGAATTCCACTTTGCTGCCAACGACGCAGACGCCGTGCTGGCCGTCCTAGGTATGCAGAGTGGCCCGCAGCACGCAATGCTCGCTTCAGTGTTCTGGACCCTTTCAACGAAAGCTTCATAATACCAGCAGGAAGCTCCAATTTTGAGCTCCTAGTGGTTGGGTGGACCCAACACGAACAAGTCGGCGGGCTTGAAACACTCGCACGCAATTTACGCCGCCTTGCTTCTGAAGGCGGCATTGTGGTGTTCTATAATCCGCGCCAGACAGGCTTGCCAGAAGGCAAAACACCGATGAACGAAAGTAACCCTCTTCACGCACTGCAACGCTTCGGTCTCAGCAAGCTTCGCCAGACGATGACTGGGAGTTGCTTCACTGCGGATATCAGTGCTGAACCCTATCCCCATCGACGATAAAAAAGTGGTCGTTCTATATTTCTCGCTTATGCGGTCGGCATTTATTGATCACACCGTCTCACACCTTCGGGAATCTGGTTAGGACATTACCGAGATCAATGTCAACAAAGACTCCGATAAAGAGCTTTCAAAACTCCCTCGCGGGTCAAGAGTGAGTGCTTGTCCTCGACGGGTTGTCTCGGCCATTTCTCGTAACAGCAGCGGAGATTGAATGGGCAGCTTTTCAGAAGATAATACACAAAAAAAGCAACCTGGTTTGGGTAACTCAAGGATCGCAAATGAGGCCTACCGCACCGCTCAAAGCTGTTGCTCATGGCATTTTCCGAACTGTCCGCGCGGAAGTTCCCATGATTCGCATTGTCACTGTAGACGTTGAGTCAGCTACAACAGAGAATATGGACACCAAACTGATTGCCATCAATATGGCTCTCAGACAAGTGAGCCCAGTGAAAGATATACAGCTTCCCATTGAGTGCGAGATTGCTGAACGTGACGGTCTGGTGCATGTTAGCCGAGTTTGGCCGGATGCCGGGGTAAATAGACGCAAGGTTGAAGACAACACAGGAGGCGCTCCATTAATAATGACCAATTTCCATGGGTCAGGATCTACCATTCGCTTGGTCACCAACAGGTCTGGTAGCTTGGAAGAGCTGCACTTCGCCGCCCAAGGCCCCGATGAGTCCCAAGATCGAGTGGTGAGACCGGATGATGTTGAGGTTGAGCTATTCGCCTCTGGTTGTAACTCCAAGGATTTGGACGTAGCCATGGGCTATTGCTCTCGAGGCTCAGATTGCCTCGGTCTAGAGGGTGCTGGTGTTGTCATCCGTGTTGGAGACTCGGTCAGCACTCGCTTTGTCGGTCAGCGGGTGGCAGTCTTCGGGCAGGGCTGCTTTGCCAACCGAGTCACTATCCCATGAAAGGCTACCTTGGTCTTACCTGATGACATGGCATTTGACCGGGCTGCAGCACTCCCAGTCGCCTATCTTACCAGTCTATATGCACTTCGCCGTCTCGCCGTGGATGGGTCTTTATCCACTCAGCTTCCACAGAAATTGGAGTCACATGCGTTCTTGTATGTCAGAATTCGGATTGTGACGTCTTCGCAACCGCGGAAAATCTGGAACAGCGCCAATTTCTAGTTCAACAGCTTGGGTTGTCCGAAAGTCACGTCATTACCTCAACTCCTACAGACTTCGCTCGCGCACTGGTTATCGCAACTAAAGGCTTCGGTCTTGATGTTATTATCAGTCAGCCTGGGGACGAAAATTTGGACAACGAATCCGTGCGATTGCTTGCGCCCAGCGGACGACTTGTCCGGATCACCAACGGTGGTGCCGATGCTGGTAATCTGGTGTTCACGGGATCTTTGCTGCGAACTTGTCTTTCCATAGCTTGGACGTATCAGCTTTGACGCTGGAGACTATCGAACAGTAAGTCAAGATCCGGTCAAATAACCGTCCCCTCCATCCAGTACTGACACTTCTATTCGCAGTGTCTTCTCGGAGCTGTCTCAGCTCATTGCGGAGGGAACGTACCCCTCCGGGTACCCAGCACAGTTCTGGGCTATCAAGAGATACCGAAGGCGTTTCAAATTCTTCGAAAAGGGACTCATCTGGGAAAGATAGTTGTTTCAAACGGCGAGAGTGCAAAGATCACCATTTTGGTAAGAGCTCAAAAAGAACTTGACTTGGTCAATCTCTAATTTCTCTAGGCCCGGCCTGCAACGACTTTGGCCAAATCTGCCATACGCTCGGATCATTGTTACATCTTTGCTGGGGATTTGAGGGGTATATGTGGTAGTCTTGCTACTCATCTGGCCTCCAACGGAGGCAAATACATTGCAGTTTTGTCTCGCAGTGGTTATGAGGATCAAGTATCTCAGACCGTCCCTCAAAATATCAGAGCATTTGGGTGCTCTCTTGACTTGCTTCAATGCGATGTCACTTCTATCAACGATGCCGGGCAGGCTTTTAACAAACTCTCTGCTCCCGTTGGTGGGATCATCCAAGGTGCTGCCGTATTTAGGGTAAGGCACAGCTCCCCGAGCCATGTCTTTTTATTAGGCTCCTACTGATACAACAACTTTCAGGATCAGACGTTTGAATTCATGTCCCATGCCGACATGCCGCTTTATCGAGCAAGGTGATTGGCACATTCAACTTACATACCGTGTCCCTCGAGACCAAGCAGCCGATCTCATTCTTCACTATGCTATCCTCCATCTCCGGCGTCATAGGCCAGAAGGGCCAGGCAAACTACGCCGGCGGTAATGCATTCCAGGACGCTTTCGCAGAGTACCGCCGTGCACTTGGATTGGCCGCTATTAGCATCGACCTCGGACCCATAGAAGACGTCGGCGTCATCCACGGCAACGAAGATCTACAAAACAGGTTCGACGGGAGTCCTCTGCTGTTAATTGACGAGGGCTTACTGCGCCGGATCTTCGACTACTCTATCATTCAGCAACATCCAGACGCAGACCGCCGGCTGAATCTCTCGAGTCAGGGCCAAATGATTACAAGTCTACTGGTCCCCCAACCTGAAGATAGCGACCTCCTCGGAGATGTGCGGTTCAGTGGATTGCGAGTCCTCCAAAGACAAGGACCTTCAAAGTCTTTTGCTGTTGGCACACTCCCAGAATCATGACCGTACAGCTTTGCGGGCTGCTGCTGTTACGGTCGTAGGGGCGCGGCTGGCCAAGCAGCTGCGCTTAACTGATGTCTTGGATCCAGCACGCCCTCTATCGTACTATGGAATGAATTCGCTCGCGGCCGTAGAGCTACGAAGTTGGGTCCCTTTGACATTGGAAGTGCAGCTCACCACGTTGGATGTAATGAATGCTGCAAGCTTGGGGGAACTGTGTGACAAGGTTGTCGGGAAAATGGCCATCGTCTAGTTTATTAGTCGCTGGTCACTAGATCTAACATCTCTCATTATTGCTTAGAGCCAGGTGCATATTCAGAGAGGCCTACCATAGCTTTATATCCGTCTTTAAGTAAAGTCACAAGCCCTGTATAAATGATCTCTCTAAACAGTCACTTCGACATCCCCCAGCTCCTCACGATCGCTCCTCTCCCTCGCGATATCCCTTCCGGTTACCAAACCCCAAAGATAAGAATTATTAACAATCTCATGACCACACTCCTTCAAAATCTCTCGCACTAGTGTCCGTATCGGGACAAACAGCACTGGAGTTATCTGCCTTGCATGTAGTATTTCCTATCTTAGGCTGTGCACTCATTTAACGAGACACAGATGGACGAGCCTCGACCCGATAATCCCATTGTAAATAGCGTAAATGGCTAAATGGGGCAAATCCATCAAACTGACGAATTGGAGTTGTCCGATGTAGCCTGTTGCCTAGCCCCTCCTGATGGACATGTCAGACGGATTACGGAGTAGAGTCAACAGCCTTGAAATGCTCTCTCCATCTCACATCCTCAAAAGAATACATATATCGTCTACTATGGGCAATTCAGCACCTACAGAACCAGCTCCCGCCTACGAGGACCTATTCCACCAACCTTCAAGCTCACGGAATGGTGTAAGTAACCTACTCCAAGATCCGAGGGAGGGCGTATGGACCCCGTCAGCATTCTAACATAAAATGAATAGTATGCTATGGTCGGTCAAACAGACGATACCGATGAGCACCGAGACGTGGAACAGGGTCACCATCTTCATGATATTCCCCCGATCGGAGTGACCCCCATCGTGACGGCTGAGCCGGATCAACACACCCACTGTGCAGAATGTGATCGGCAGCGGGAGCGCAGAGAGAGACGGGAGAGTTCCCAGAAAGCATGTGGCATGGTTGCGAAAACGTTCATCCTGATTTCTCTGTTTCTGATGATATTGGGGATCGTTAGTGTCCAGGCTTGGAAGGATGTTCGTATGAAGAAGTCGCATAGTTAGACTAGTCTTAGTCCTTGTATGTGTATGTGCTACTAAAAGGGATGTTAGTATACTTTTGTCCTAGTCTAGTAGACTTAGGCAGATAGACGAACACATTCCATGAGGTTTCCTAGTCTTGTTTAGTAGCTCCACCTTACATGAACAAGCACTCCCACTGGAATCATATCGCGTAGCTACTGTTTACTGTTTACTGTTTACTTCCTTGCTTTCTATCTATCATTCATGGAGAAAATTTGAGCTTATTCAATATTGTATTGAATATCAAAAATGAATATCAACACTGTAGTCGTATATAACAGGATCCAAGACAAAAAAAGAAACACCATGCAATCTCTAACAAAATATAACATAAAAGTCGAAGGAAGAAAAAGCCATCAAGTCATAATAGATGCTTCTGTGCAAAACATATGCAAATGGATCTAAGCAGAGCCAAGGTACTTAAGCACATTCTCACGTTCCTCAACAGGCAACATGGAAAGAACCTGCTGCACACCGCGCAAACCACCCTCCTTGTTCCCAATAAGCAACTGAGCAACCTCAGACGCAACGCCATCAGTACGCAGCGACTCAACCTTGCTCTGAACAACCTTCTTGTTCTCCTCGTACCAAGTAGCAACCTTGTGGTCATCGTGCTCGAGTTCCTCGTCCAGCATACCAGTCCAGGCGTGCAGGGTGCGGAGGTGGGCAGCGCGAAGGGATCCGCTGGTAGCGTCGGCACCAGAGGCTGCGTGCGCCGAGGCGGCGACCATGCGCTTGACGATGGTCTCTTCGCTGAGACGGCGGCGCAGACGCCAGTAGAAGAAGCGACGGGAGTTGACCCACTGCAAAGGCTTGCGGATAGTGTCCTTGGCTTGCATACGGCCGGCGCGGTCGTGCAGGTCGGCGAATTGAAGCGCAATCTGCATGTAAACGGGCAGGAGCTGCTCCTCGCGGGCGGCCATCTTCGCCTTGACTTCGCTGAGCTGCTCGTTGGTAAGGGAGGTGTCGGCCAGGGAGCGGCGGAGCTCGCCGTAGGTCGCGTCCAGACGGGCCATAGTGTCCAGCTGCTTCTCGCGGCGGTACTTGATGTTCACCATACCCTCGGGCTCGAGCACACCACCGCGGGAGTCTTCGTCGGCGTACATCTCCATCTGGTCGGGGTTGATGGTGGGGTCAACGACGACCCAAGATCCACCGCGGAGCTCGCCGTGGGGAGGAATGTACACGAAGATGGGCTGCTCGTACTTGACGAGAGCGTCGACGATGTACGAACCGTACTTGAGAACCTCGTTGTACATGTCACGCTGGCCACCGGAGAATCCCCTCCAGTTAGCCAGGATCATGACGGGCAGCTGCTCGCCGTTGTTGAAGTCGCGCAGAGCCTGGGCGGTCTTGTAGGCCGAGTTGGGGTACCAGACACCACCGGCCTCGGTGGAGATCATCTCCATAGAGTCGGGGTTAGCGGGATCGGCAGGAGTGACGTTCTCCACCGAGCGGGTCTCGACGGCAATCACACCCATGGGGATACCACCGAGGCGGGCACGACCGACAACGACGGTGCGAGCCCAGCCACCAAGGGCCTCCTCGAAGGAGCCTTTGTCGAACAGACCAGGAAGGAAGCCGTCAACGTCCTCCTTTCCGCCGATGAGCCATCTGACATCATAGGTTTGTTTGGGAGGAGGGAAGTAGGCAACGTCACGGTCCCAGCTGTCCGACCAGGGGCGAATGGGGATAGGAGCATTCTTTTTGTCGGGGACGAAAGACATCCACTCAACAATCTTCTCAACGCCCTCGAAGTCATCGTTGGCAGTCATGTGAGAAACACCGTTCTTGTACATGATCTGGGTGCCACCAAGCTGAAGGTTGGAGGTGTAAACCTCGCGACCGAGCAGCTTGTTGATGGCAGGGGCACCAGTGAGGATGATGGGCTGGCCCTCAACCTGGATGGCACGTTGACCGAGACGCACAAGGTAAGCACCGATACCGACAGAGCGGCAGGTAACGAGAGTAATAGTGAAGATATCCTCGTAGGCCTTGGAAGTGGCACCAGCAATGAGACCGGAACCCTTCAGACACTCGACACCAAGACCGTCCTTGGCACCAATGACGGTGGTGATCTTGTGGCGCTCCTCACCCTCATCGTTGATGGGCTCGGTGATGACCTCCTTCTTCTTGCTGGCATCGAAGCGCTTCTTGACCTCGGGAGTGAGGTAAAGGTACTTGAAGCCGGCCTCGGGTTTCTCCGGGTCGTTCCAGGCAACCGAGAAGAAGGGGATCAGCTCATCGGCAACGCCGATGCGGGCACCGGAATTAGCAGACAAGTAGATACGGGGAATACCCAGCTTGCGGGCTAGCTCAGTGCACTTGTGGAAGAACTTGTCTTCCTGAGGACCGAAGGAACCAATCTGGAAGGTGATGTCGTTGGCGACAATGATGAAACGTCTGCCGCGAGGGTACTCGGGAGTACGGGCAGTGATGATCCAACCAACCATACCGTGAGTGTTGGTACCAGGCTCGCGAGACACCTCGACAAGGTTGTCGGTGTCATCCAAGACCAGCTCGCTGTAGTCAATACACTCTCCAACGGGAGGGCGCTTCTCGTACAAGGAAGGAATCTTCTCGGCAATCTTGGTCCAGCTGTTCTGGAAGGCCTGGCGGAAAAGCTCGGGGAAATCGTATACGTACTGAGTTCCCATCAAGTGAGCCTTGTAGCGCTTGGGCTGCAGCCACTCCTTGGTAGGGTACGGGGTGGAGACAGGGCGGAGATGCATAGAGCCCAGCTTGGCAGTACCACCAATGCTCTGGAAGATCCACTCGCCCTTCTCGGACTTGCGCTCGATGTACAGCTCGACGTTGATGATGAAACCGTAGGTGTTGCTGATAATCACACGCAGGGGGTAGGGCATACCGGTAGCCGGGTCGGTGCAGAGGATGCGGATTTCTGCGCCGGTGACACGGAGGCGCCACAGACGGCGGCCGAAGCGATCGAGGAAACCGGCCAGGGCTTGTTCGACATCGACGGGCTGGAGGTTGAAGACGGGAGAGAAGTTGATGAAGATGTGATTCAGGTCGGAGTTGTTGTTGCCAATGATCTCCAGGGCGTCCAGGATGTCGTTCATGAGGCGGTCGGCCTCCGAGATCAGGTACTCAGCGGTGGGAATATCATCACGCAGACGGCCGGGACGAACCACAGCACGAACAAAGTAGCGCTTGTCAATAGCCTTGTCGTTCTCAGGGCCCTTGCCAATAGCCTCGTAGACGTGAATGTTACGGTTCTCGGTGAAGACGGGCTTGATGTTGAACTTGGACAGACGGCCGAGCTCCAGCTGGAAGGCAAGAGCAGGCTCACTGTGGCGGATACTCAGATCCTCCTCGTAGTGGGGACCACGGAAGGTAAAGTAACCGGGATAGACACCTTGCTTGCCGCAGATGAAGGTAACACGGCGAATACGGCGAGCGAGGAGCTCATCCTTGTTGTCGGCGAGCAGCTGCTTCATCTGTTCAACAAGCTCCGCATCTTCCATGTCCTCAATATCGCGGATGGCAATGTTGCAGACTCCAGTGAGCTCGCTGTCACTAACGGGCTTAGGCGCGGGACGACGCTTGCCTTCGAGAGTGGCAATGAGGCCCTGCTCGCTGGGGCGCTTGACGTTGGAGCCGCCGAGAGGGAAGACCTCAAGAGCCTTGGAGAGGAACTCCTCAGCATCCTCCAGGTACTGCACGGGGATGATAACACCCTTGCGGACGGGGTC